AAGTTTGAACACGAAATCGAACACTCCTTCTTGCTTATCGATGAGTTTCAAACGAGGCTGTTCGTTCGTGTCGGTTCGATTGCAAGCCTAACCAGGTCTGCATATCCTAGCCTATTGGGAGGTTTAATGACTCTTCTGGTTCTATCTCTTGACAATTGGTAATTTGTCAAGTCTGATTCTTTTTCCTCTTGTTCTTCTTGTTCACCAGATTGATTTTCCTCAAAATTTTCAGGATATTCTTCATTGTCTTGAGCTCCACCTTGATTTAGATTATGGTTAGAGGTTGAATCCTGAATTTCCAGCTCTAAATGATCCAATCTTGAGACATTATCAACTAGTTATTTAGGTTCATTTTCTAGTCTAGGAAGGACATCTTCCCTAAAGACAACATCTCTACTAATGATGCATTTCTTGGTTTCTAGGATCCAGAACTTATACCCTTTTACTCCCTCTAGGTATCCAAGAAACAAACATTTAATGGCTCTAGGTTTCAGTTTATCTTCCCTTATATGAACATAGGACAGGCATCCATAGACTCTTAAGTTTCCCAGATTTACAGGGTGTCCAGACTACTTTTCTAAAGGAACCTTAAAATCTATGGCAGATGAGGGTGTTCTGTTTATTAGATACACCACAGTATGTGCAAATTCTGCCCAAAATTTTATAGGTAGTTTAGAGTTTGACAAAATGCTTGTAACTTTTTCTAGAATTGTTATGTTCATTCTCTCATGGAGGCCATTCTATTGTAGGGTATTCCTAACAGTTTTGTGTCTAATGATCCCATGGTTCTTACAGAAACTATTAAACTCTTCATTTACAAAATCAAGACCATTATCAGTCCTAAGCTTCTTCAGTTTCTTTCCTGATTGAGTTTCAACCATTGTTTTCCATTCTTTAAACCTAGGGAATGCTTCATCTTTAGTTTTGAGGAAGTAAATCCATACATGCCTAGAATAGTCATCCACAAAACTAATAAAGTATCTACAACGCCCCTAATGAATGGTGTCTAGATGGTCCCCAAACATCTGAGTGAACATACTCAAGTGGTGAGCTTGAGTAATGTTTACCAAATCCAAATTTGACTCTACACATTTTCCCAAAGACACAATGCTCACAAAAAGTCAAACTTCCAATCTTATCCCCCTCCTAATAGATTCGCTTGCTTAACTCCTATAATCCTTTTTCACTGACATGTGCCAACCTTTGATGCCATAATAAGGGTTTGTCTTGTGCCTCTGGAGACCCTACAGCAGCTATTCCACAATATGTCTTACATTTTAACACATAGAGACTATTCCATCTTTCAGCTTTCATCACTATTAGGGACCATTTCATCACATTAAGGCATCCATTTGCTGCCTTGTAACTCAGTCCTATTGAGTTTAGAGTACCTAGTGAGATTAAATTCCTTTTGAGATCAGGAATATACCTCACATCAGTGAGGGTTTTGGTTAGGCCATTGTGAAGACTTAACTTGACAGTACCCTATGCCCTTGATATGACATACTGCATTGTTTTCCATCATAACTATCCCACCATCTAAAGTTTGAAAGGTACTAAACCACTCCCTATTAGGTGTCATATGATAGGCACATCCTGTATCTAATATCCATTCTTCACTATTTCTACCCTCAGAAATGACTAACACCTTTGAACTCTTATACCCTTCAAATACAACCCCAGCCTGCCTGCCTCACCTTCTTTTTCATACTTCTTTTTGCTCTTCCTCTCAAGACAATCTCTCCTAAGGTGACCTTCTTTGTGACAGAAGAAGCATTTCCACTTCCCTGTTTTGGATTTGGATTTATTCCTATTTTGTCCTCCCTTTTTCCACTTCCTCTTCTCTGATCTACCCCTTACCATGAGACATTTCCCATCACTGCCCAGTTTATCTTTTATCCTATTCTCACTATCCTTAGTTGTAATGACTTTTACAATCTCTTCTAATTTCAGTGTTTGCCTACCATACTTCAAAGTTTCTACAAAATTAGAATAAGGTTTTGGCAAGGAATTTAAAAGAATTACAGCTGGTCTTCATCATCAATTTCTATTGATATGCTTTCCAAGTCTTGTACAATTTTCAGAAATTCATCCTTATTATTTTTTAAGATTTTTATTTCATCCATTTTGAACCCAAATAATCTTTGTTTAAAAAATAACCTATTGGGAACAACCTTAGATTGATAAAAAGTGTCTAACATTTTCCAGATCTCAGCAACAATTTTCTCTTTTTTCACTTCTCAAAGGACTTTGTCACCTAGTCCTAGGATCAAGGAGTTTTTAGCCTTGTTAAGTACATCCTGCTTCTCAGCTTCTGTCATGGTGTCAGGTAACCCAAATTCCCCTTTCAATGCTAAAGCTAGTCCCTTTTTGATCAGCACAACTTCCATCTTCATCTCTCATAGTCCAAAATCATTGTCCCCTGTAAACTTTTCAAGTTAAAACTTAGTCGACATGTTTTGTACAAAATTTGTAAAAAACAGTAGCACAGAAATTGAGACAGAGAGCAAAGGTAATTTTTACTGAATAGCTCACAGTCAAGAGTAATCGAAAAATAACCCTAATGAAGCCTTGAACCAAACTCTGATACCAATTTGTAGAAAATCTAGGGTTTAATTGAATCTGACTTCAATTGGGATAATGGATGAGCAAATGAATTAACAACTTATATAGATTATTAAGCAAACAATCAATTGCAGAAATCAATAAAGAATGAACAAAATGAAAGATTAACACACAGAGATTTATAGTGGTTTGACTTATATAACCTACATCCACTCTTCAAGGTACACTGTAGAGTATTTTATTAACCATAATAGCAAGGTTACACAGAGGAATTGAAATGAGAGCTAAAAACTAGAAAGAACACACCCGAGATTTGAAATCCCCCAAATCTCTTCTATGAAATCCCACACTCTGCTCTTTGCCACTCCTGCATCCATCAAGCTGGATTTATACACAATTAACCTTCTTTGATCAAATACCATCTATACAACAAGGCATGATAACCGTTTGACAAATGATGGCCTATAATCTTCTTCCATGGTCATGTTCTCGAGTTGAAGATAGAGAGAGTTGAAGAGAGTAAAGTTGTTACAGTGAAATCAAGATCAAGTGCCATGATAAGGCACTTGATCTCTAACCCAAAACGGCATCGCACAAACAAGTCTTGACTTCCATTTAAAAACTTTGACTCCAGATTTTGACATATCATCTATTCTAATTTGTTTAATTTATCCCTAATTTAAAATTATTCAATTATATTTTTATGGGAAGTATCTACTTANGATTTTTAATTCATCCATTTTGAACCCAAATAATCTTTGTTTAAAAAATAACCTATTGGGAACAACCTTAGATTGATAAAAAGTGTCTAACATTTTCCAGATCTCAGAAACAATTTTCTCATTATTCACTTCTCAAAGGACTTTGTCACCTAGTCCTAGGATCAAGGAGTTTTTAGCCTTGTTAAGTACATCCTGCTTCTCAGCTTCTGTCATGGTGTCAGGTAACCCAAATTCCCCTTTCAATGCTAAAGCTAGTCCCTTTTTGATCAGCACAACTTCCATCTTCATCTCTCATAGTCCAAAATCATTGTCCCCTGTAAACTTTTCAAGTTAAAACTTAGTCGACATGTTTTGTACAAAATTTGTAAAAAACAGTAGCACAGAAATTGAGACAGAGAGCAAAGGTAATTTTTACTGAATAGCTCACAGTCAAGAGTAATCGAAAAATAACCCTAATGAAGCCTTGAACCAAACTCTGATACCAATTTGTAGAAAATCTAGGGTTTAATTGAATCTGACTTCAATTGGGATAATGGATGAGCAAATGAATTAACAACTTATATAGATTATTAAGCAAACAATCAATTGCAGAAATCAATAAAGAATGAACAAAATGAAAGATTAACACACAGAGATTTATAGTGGTTTGACTTATATAACCTACATCCACTCTTCAAGGTACACTGTAGAGTATTTTATTAACCATAATAGCAAGGTTACACAGAGGAATTGAAATGAGAGCTAAAAACTAGAAAGAACACACCCGAGATTTGAAATCCCCCAAATCTCTTCTATGAAATCCCACACTCTGCTCTTTGCCACTCCTGCATCCATCAAGCTGGATTTATACACAATTAACCTTCTTTGATCAAATACCATCTATACAACAAGGCATGATAACCGTTTGACAAATGATGGCCTATAATCTTCTTCCATGGTCATGTTCTCGAGTTGAAGATAGAGAGAGTTGAAGAGAGTAAAGTTGTTACAGTGAAATCAAGATCAAGTGCCATGATAAGGCACTTGATCTCTAACCCAAAACGGCATCGCACAAACAAGTCTTGACTTCCATTTAAAAACTTTGACTCCAGATTTTGACATATCATCTATTCTAATTTGTTTAATTTATCCCTAATTTAAAATTATTCAATTATATTTTTATGGGAAGTATCTACTTATAATATTATCATGTGTTAAAATATCATTTTTTTTTTCTAAACAGCATCAAAAACAATCTTCAACCTTGGATATTACAAATATCAATTCAAAAGATTTTATGGTTGCTTATCTTATTGAAAGTTAAGTTGGTAAATTAACATTTATATTAAGAACCGGGGTTGAGTTGAAAATTCAAAAAAAAAAAAAAAAAAAAAAAAAATTGGATGATTTGTTTATTCCGCTCCTGATAAACAAACCCTGATCAGAAAGTACTCGCTACTGATTCAAATTGTTAAAACTTGAACTAGCATATCTATACTTGAATCAGTGACCAAGCATTTGAATAAAAATACTATATTGCAACACATCCTCACGTGCTACTTGTCTATAATCATTTTATTCAAACTTTTAAACATAAAAACTACGGATTTCTCTTCTCCCAAAAGAATTGATTTCTTTCACCATCTGCACCAAAATTGCAGAGAACACAGATAGGCTCCATGAGATGGGAAAGGAAGGAAAAGAAAATAACAAGTGCGTAGTTGCAATGGCAGCTTGTCAAAATTCTTTTCTTGTATTGAATAGTACCTGGTAACTGGAAACGCCAGTTTATCTGTGTTACGTACAAAGCTATTACATCAAAGAATAACTCAACACAAAAATTCAAAATTGACTTTAGCACACTAAATTTATCAACTATGGAAGTAATTTATTTTGAAGGTTGTAAGGAAGCTTTGTTCATCCGCCAAAAAGGACAAAAGAATATCCTCACACAAGTAATGGACGAACATGACTTCGTGTAGCTCCGGTGCGGCACTGTGCAAAATGGTACAGTTACACCTGACTGCTTTGGATTCTTTGAATCTGTATACTCATTTTAGGTATACTGTAGGTTAGCGATAATCAAGCTAAATGAATTACTTAGCTTTTGAAACAGTTGGCACACAATCTTCATGCCATATATGGCGGGCTTCAATCAACAGCAGCATGTTTCTGCAATTTCATCATTCCTCTGGTAGACTCAATTTCCGGGATATGTGAATCTCTTTGACATTTCTAAACTAAGCCAAGTTGAAGAAAGATCACTGCTACGAGTGACTAGATAAATAATGAATGCTACATAAGCAGCAGTGGCAGCACAGACCAGAAATCCAAACAACAGTCCCTTGACTTCAGAAAAGAAGAAATCTAGCAACAAATAACCATTAATGACTATCACAAGAGCAGCCACAGTCCACGCAATTCTCTGCAAAATAATGATAAAGTTGGTTCAAAAGACTTAAAAGGCATCGAATAACTCGTTAAGCATCCTGTTTACAGAACCCGGCAAGAAATGATGACAGAGAATAATCTGGAGAGACATTATCCACTCAATCAGTTATGTGTCAGTATGAAGCAAAACCATCAAATATGTGTCAGTATGGCTTCATTTCTATACCAGTGCACAACACAGCCCTAGAGACTAATTACTGAGGGCAAAGCGTGAGCACACGAGTCTGTAAATATCTAAATGCATAGAAAACACTGCTTTCATAAAGCTATTCAAAGAATCCAGTAAACTTTGCATGAAACCTTCATAAAGTTTAGTTCCCATAATAAGAACCAATACAACATTCTTGAGCTAAAAAAAGGAACTGTAACAGAATGAGAGAAAGCTACAAAATGGATCAAGCAAGTGGCTAAGCAATTTAACAAAAAAAAAACAGTAATTCTAAGGTTGAATATGATGACATGGGAATCAACCGTGGTGAAGTTTTTTCCGATTTTCTCTTCAATTACACAAATTTTTCTCAAACATTCAACTTAAATTTTTACAGTATCGAATTAACAAAGGAAAAATGTTCTGTTGCGACTGGACCTCATAATTACTAATTAGACCCTATAACTATAAATGGCTTCTCAAATAAAGTTGAAATAAAAAAGGGTAGATTAAAATGGCAGAACAAAGAAGCTAACAATTTACCTCCAAAAAAGGCCCAATCTTGAAGACTCCCATGATCTGCTCCTTCGCCACCAAGGTAAGAAGCGGGATAAGTGCAAAAGGAATTTGTATTGACTGAAGCACATTTAACCATTCATTTAGAATATCCAATGAAGACTCAGAAGTGTTAAATATGAGAGCTACAATTATAGTCGGCACAATTGCACAGCTCCTTGTAATTAGTGCCCTAAGCCATTTCTTTAAACGAAGGTTGAGAAACCCTCCCATGATAAACTGACCAGCATAAGTTCCAGTTATTGTACTACTTTGTCCAGCCGCCAATAACCCAATACCCCAGATGTAAAGAATTGGTAGATGTCCTCCTCCATACTTCTCCTGAAGATATTGCCCCGCATTAACTAATCCTATACTATCAGCTTGTGTAGTACCATAAAATGCTTTGGCAAAAACAGTGGTTACAAATAAGTTGATCATAAAGGAAACTAAAAGAGCAATGGATGACTCAATTGAGTAATAGTTTAGTGCTTCTTGAACACGGCCTTTCTTGTTGGGATCAACATTCCTTGATTGTACTAAAGCAGAATGCAAAAATACATTATGAGGCATAATGACACATCCCACAACACCCACAGCTTGCCTAATGGTTTTTGAGCTCAGTCTAGGAACCAAAATACCTGTGCAGAGTATTACAAAATATTATGGTTTATAAGTTTGGCAACAGTAAGTGATGATATTGACAATCTATTAATTATGCCACCAAAAAAAAAGAACAAAACTGTCCTTTTATGTCAAATAAAATTTCTCACCCAATAAAAGTTCCTTTCCATTAGGTTGTGTGTCCCCAAACATCCAGGCAAATGATAGAGCCATGGTCGCAATTAGAACCGCAAAAACAGCTTCTAATTTTCTAACTCCATAGTGCTCTAGAAATAAAAAAACGAAACTGTTGACAAGAGCGAACAAAAAGTCCTAGTTAAACATAAAGCACAATCGTTTTCCGCACAGCAGGGAGCAACAGATGACATTAATGAACGGATTTTAATTTTTTAGTCCAAACATGATAACCTTGGCAGAACAAAATCCAAACAAAGCAGCATAAAATAATTCATTGTAAGTCTCTGTCCAAACAAATCGCAATAATTCGATACAAAAACAAATATATAAATCAAGAATTCAGCAGCAAACAGCTCCAATTCTCCGAAAAAAAGAAAAACACTTACCAATCGGAGGCCGTAATTAAAACACCCGCCCAAAGCGGCAACACCCCATTACTCAAAATCTGAATTGCAATAGCACTCCCAATAACCTCCTGAATATCCGCTCCAATTAACGCCACTTCAGCCATGAACCACAACACGTATCGGGCCCAATTTGGGTACTCATCTCTACACAGCTCCGCCAAGTGCCGGCCTGTTGCCACCCCAAGTCGAGCCGACAGTAATTGAATCAACAAACCCATGATCGTAGCCCACATTAACAGCCAAAGAAGCGAGTACCCTGCTATTGCCCCCGATTGGAGATCTCCTTCTAAATTCCCTGGATCCAGAAACGCTATGCTCATTAAAAAACCAGGCCCCGTGAACAGCCAAAGTTTTTTCCACGAGAAAGGGGGCACTTGGCCAACGTCTAAGGAGTCCACATCATCGATCAGGATTTTTTCTCGTGAATCGAATGCCGCTTCCTCGTCGTCCGTGGAGGCTGAGGATGGTAAGAGGCGATTGGCCTCCTCGTCACTTGGTTTAGGCGACAACTCGGTGTCGTCCTGGGGTTCGGCGGAGTTCATGAAATATTCTGTCGTGGTTGACGGAATATTCGAATTGGTTTTGTAGTCGCTGGCAGGGTGGTGGACAGACCCCTTTCTAGACGGGTGAGCTTGGATGAGAGTCGAAACTCGAAAGTTTAGCTCCTGGATTTATAATTTTTTATTTTTGGATCAACCCTTTCCATCAGGATTGCAAATATTGTTGCATGGAGGTTTCTGTCCAATTGGAGATTGACGCGTCAGATTCTGTTGGGGCGCTTCGTATTTTGTATTGTTAAAAGTCTACGAAGCCAAGTCAGTCGAATGAGTAATACCAAACTCACAACCTATTTTTACAAAAAATTTTATGACCGTGATGTGACACACTTAGTTAATATTGTCACATTAGTTTCACTACATCAAAGGTATAAAATAATTTTGATAAATCAAATAAATGACCGTTCTTTTTAAGAAAAATATTTTTACAAAATAATAAATTGTTCCTCACAAAATAAATGACCGTTTCTTATGAAAAAATAATTATTCCTCATGAAATGAAAATCGTTCTTTATAAAAAAATAATCATTGTTTTATAAGAATGATAGTTTATTTATAAAAAAGTCATTATTATAAAGAATGATCATTCTTTACGAAGAAATTATTGTTAATTTCTCATAATACCTTAGGTGTCTTAAATAAGCTAATGTGATAATGTCAATCTGTTGACAGCGTTAGTATTATAAAAGAGATCGTAAGATGGAGTATAAATGTAAAATTTTTCTTTTAATATCATCATTAAATATATACGCTGAGATTTTGTTCTTCATTAATCATCAATCCCGTCCTTAGTTTAGTAAACATCAATCAATAATCAGAATCTAAAACGTGATTTACCTAAAAATTCAATATAACATTGAACTCCCTCGTTTCGATTTCCCAAGTCTCAAGAATCACGTCACTCACAAATTCTAATACATATATGCAACCTTTTCGTCCACTCCATTACTTAAAATAATAAAAGATGGGTTTTCTTTGAAAGAAGGGAGAACGACAGTTTTTCACCCAAGGTTTGGTGAAACGACACTTTCCCACCTTCCATTATGTTATGTTAAAAGAATCCGTTATGAGAAAGGGATAGAATAATCAATTTATGTGAACACATAAATCAAAATTTAAAAATTGAAATATCTCTTTCTTCTACGTTGGAGGCTACAACGCCAGCATAACCTGCAATTGCTAGTAGGTTGGCAGCGTCGCAACCTTTAGCCCTAAGTGGGTTGGCTACGATGCTACCAACTCAGCTCGCAGAACCAAATTGCGGCCGAAGGTGCTCAAAACACCCAACTCGACGTGACACCTCGACACCTAACCCTCTTCTTTTCCTGCTCACAATTATCTTTTTGGATCTTATGATCTATGGGTTTGTGATTTTGGGGTTTATTTTTTGTGGATTTTAGTGGTTGGAGAATTTGAAGATTCTTTCTGAAACGGGTTTTTGCGTTTGTTAGATGTTGAATTTTGTCTTGTGTGGGTTTGTGAAAAGAGTTTATATATGAATTTTAATTGTTATTTCAGTAGAGATAAAAAAAACTTCAATGGTTTGTTGGATGTTATGTTGTGTTGTGGGGTTCCTTAAAAAAATTGTATATGAATTTTAGTTGAATAATATCAATAGAGATTGGAAATTTTAATGGGTTTGATGGAGGAACAGAGAAGAAAGAAGATGTGGGCAGAATACATTTGGTGAAGGAAGGGAGAAGAAGGATTTGGACATAATACATTTGGTGGAGGAAGGAGAAGAAGAAGATGATGAGTAGGAAATTAAGGTTGGAGAATGAAAGAGAGATGTTAGAGAGCCATGTGAGGTTTTTGGGTAGGGGTACTATGGTCTATGCGAATACTAGAAAAATAAAATTTGATCTTGCAAAATGTTGTTGTTGGTCAGAGAGGTGCATGTGGTGGGTAGTAAAGAAGTGAAAGGAGAGACAGGAACCAATCAAAAGAAAAAAAAAAAAATTGATCTAGTTTTGTCATGTTTTGCTTCTTCTCTTCTGTAGAATTTTCTCATGTTATTTTGATCGAAAATGATAGAGTTACCGAAGGTTGCGACTAAATCTGTGATCGAATGACGTGAAAAAATCATGACCGTTGATAATATTAACTGATAAAGAATTAACGTCAGGATTTTGTCACTCATTCGGTGCACAACCTTCGGTGGCTATAGCATTACTCTTATTTGATATCACCAGCAAACTTTTATTACTGCTCAATACAGGGTATTGTCATTGTTTATGAGAAGCAAATTTACAATTTATCTCTCAACTTTTATTAAAAATAATATTTTACTGGAATAAGTAAAATTTATATACAATTTTCAACTTAAAGAGAGAGTATATTGGTAATGACTCTGTTGCATGACATAAATAATTAAAAAAATAAAAGGTATTTGTCTTATAATCAATAATAACGGATTTTACTAACGATAAACAGTGATGGAAAGTGTCATTTACCAAACCTGGATGGAAATAATAAAAAAGAATGGGGGACTGGGTACACCATTCAATAGGAAGTTCGTATATGAAGAAATACACCATCCTTCATTAGGATGTGAGCAAACAAAATCAGAAGCATAATAAAAGAATGAACATCTTTGAGATAAAAGCAAACAAAATTCAACAATGGAATGGTATCATTATCTATGTTAATTTGGTACCATTCTTATCTCATCTCCAATCAATCAAACAAACTTTCATTTAAATGCTTATTTTCCAATTACAACTACTATTTCTAAGAGATAGGAAACAGTGGGATGGGATGCTTACGTTGACCACAACTAGAGTGAGAACCATTCTTTTACTTACGGGCTATCAGGCATGCCCTATGTCACTACAAGCAACAGATGCACTTCCACACTCACTCAAAAAGGCACAAAATTCCAAAACAGAGCCCCTGCTCTTAGATTATGAAATATATTGACAAGTTTTCTTCTTTATATCATTTTGGGTGTGAAAATAAGCTTACCAGCGTTCATGCCAAAGATTATATAATAACAATTATGGCCGGTATCCCAAGAATCTTGTCGTTAAAATTGTTTCTCCTCGTTCGCCGTCCTTTCTAACTCTGGCATCTAAATCTCGACCATTGCATTGGCAAACTTACTCAGGATGGGACACTTTGCTTGATCTCCTCTTGCTATCTGGTTCCCAAACAGAGAGTAGATTGTTCATTGAATTTAAAGATTGATGAGCTAGCCTTTTTAACAGTAACAATAATATGAACAGAACCAACCAACATTATATAGTGGTATCATACCAAATCTTGCAGAAATGTGCAGATGATGAAATATTTTGTTCTTTTTTTATAACTTTGATTTTCATATGATAATTAAATTTTAATTACCAATCAAATTCACAAATAGATACAGTAACATGTGTGAATTTGTGAGTAGAACACAAAAAAATAGTATATTAAAGGTTATGAACAACTTATGAGTATCAGATTCGTCAAACCTTTTTATTTTCACATCTTCACTCATTGTATTTGCAATCACAATAGCTTTTCAGACAAATTATAACCATACCATTCAAATTTGAGATAGCAAGTTGAACATGATTGGACGTGGGCGGCACTTAGCATGCAAGGGTTGAGCTTTGACAATGTTAATCCAGCCCCTTCCGTCATGTCCACCATCTCCTCCCCAGTCCTCATCCACTGAAAGCATTGAATCATTGACCCCAAAACCAACCCAAACATTGTCAACCCTAAACCTTCTCCAGGACACCCTCTTCTCCCTGACCCAAATGGCACAATCTGAACCCATCTCTACCCCTCTCTACTCCCTCAAACCTCTCGGCTTAAACATTGTGGATCGGCCCAAAGCTTTGGATCATTTTGTATAGCCCACAAATTGCAAACAAGATTGTCCTTGTGGAATGTGAAATCCTCAACTACGCACTTCTCAGACGATTCATGAGGAATAAAGTGGGGATGGCGGGTACATACGCATGTCTCGTTGATGATGTTACTGAGACAAGGAAGTGAGCCAGATCTGATTCCTCTATCGACGTTCCTGACCTACATGTTTGTCAATTTCTTTTGGACTTTCTCAAGGACTTCTTGATGGTTTAGCAAAAGTGAGAGTGCCCATTCTATAGACTTTACTGTGTGTCTGTGCCAGCCAATAACATTATCTACACAGGAATGGAATCGTTATGTTCAAGAGATGCAAAAATACATGAAATTTCACAAAGATAGTGTGCAGAATAAAGATAGTTTGTAGTATCTGAAGTGAATTATATATAATAGATAATGTTAATTCAGAGGTAAAAATTATTCATAACAAGGAGAGAGAGACAAAAATCTTACAAGCATTAGGCCTTTGATGATCTCGTCGTTGTAGTATCAGGTTCTGATTCTGTAGCCCAACAAAACTTCAATCAACGTATTCTTTCTATCAGTCTCGGAATCATGACCACTTCCTCTTTTCTTCTTCTATGCTCTTCAATCAAACCTGCATGAACTCGTTCTCTTTTCTCTGACACTTGATCAACATGTTCTCAGTTTTGGACTTGAACAACGGTAAGTAATTATACATGGCGTTCCAGCTAATTTAAATGTCTTATGAACTCCTAAACCTCTTTGACTCCTCAAGATCTGCAATGTTATCACCGTAATATCGCTTTCCAGCAATCATTCTCATCATGACGTTTAGTGTTAACTCAAAAAACATCGTCCGCAGTTCGACAGACTGGTCTTGATTCTCTAATAGCTTGCGAATCAGTATCTTGGCCATCACAGGTATACAGAGAACATTTGGAGACGAGAAATTGACAATATTGAAGGGCTGCGATTTTTCGGAGATTTCGCCAGTGATCACCATAAGGAGCCAAGATAAGATGGTGTAATTATGCCTAGAATCTTTCCAATGGTCATGCGAGGGGTTTGGCAAGAGATGTGTCGTCTTGGTCAAACATTTTCTGCTGCAGAAGGTGATGAGACTACGACAACTTTGCGACACCGAATGGAGGAAGGCTATGGACCGTGCTGTTTGGAGATTCTGTAGAGAGTCTGGTGGATAGGTTTCTTCAAGAGGTAGAATGACCTATAATGGGGAGGGAAGAAAAGGGATTGGTGGGAGGGTTTGGAATTGTGTTCAGGAAGTGCTTCGTGATTACATAAAAGCTAGGAATA